ATGCTTAAGGGAAGTGCTGCCTTATGGTGGTCCGACTATTGGAGGTTGAGGCAGGCAGAGCTTAATGTCCTGACTTGGGATCGCATGAAGGAGGTGATCATGGAGAAGTATTATCCTCAGGGTTATCGCATAAGGATGGAGCGCGCTTTCTGGGATCTTACTCAGGGGACCGGTACCGTTGAGGAGTACGAGCGGGAGTTCACCCGCATGAGCACCTTTGCTCCACATATGGTAGACACTGATTTGAAGAAGGCCCACAAGTTCCGTGATGGTCTGAACCACACCCTCCGTATGCATGTTGCTAGCCAGGGGAATCTTTCCTTTGACGAGACCGTTATTCGAGCCACCCAGCTTGAGAGTTATCAGACTCCCAATGTTTCTGCCCCTTCTGCTCAGCTAGTTCAGCCTATTTACTCCGCACCGCCCGGCTCTAGTTCGGGCAAGAGAAAGTTTGATTCCCGCCGGGATAACCGGAAGAGAAAGTGCGGTGGGAACGATCGTCGTGGTGAGCGCCCCTTCGCACGAGACCAGTTTCCGAAATGCCGTAATTGTGGTCGTTATCATCCGGGAGAGTGCCGGTACACCCAGCGAGTTTGCTTCAACTGCATGAAGCCCGGTCATTTCTTCAGTGCTTGCCCCGAGCCCCCGAGGCAGCATACTCAGCAGCAGCAGCAGCAGCAGCTTTCTCCTCCACCTTACCAGCAGCAGCAGCAGCACAGGCAGCCCCCACCACAGCAGCAGAGGGCTGGGGGTCAGGCCCGAGTCTATACCCTTGCTCATGACGAGGCAGCCAAAAACGCAGGTACCATGTCTGACATGATTTCTTTATCCAATGTGCCTATCTTTGCGTTATGTGACACTGGAGCTACTCATTCCTTTATATCCTCTCGATGCTGTGATGCCCTGTCTATTGATAATGTGTGCCCTTGTGACCCTCTCGAGGTTAGTCTAGCCTCGGGAAAGATCATTATTTCCGATTCTATGATTTCCAGTCTTCCAGTCAGTATTGGTGGGCGTGTTTTGGAGGCCGATTGCTATGTTATTGAAATGCGAGACTTCGATGTGGTCTTGGGCATGGACTGGCTCACTCGCTATCGAGCCGATATCCGGTGCCAGGAGCGCGAAGTCAGTCTCTTCCCTCCTCCCGATCAGCCTGTTATTTTCTATGGGGTGAAGTCGAGGACCGTGCCTCGAGTCATTTCTTCTATGCAAGCGAGGAAGAGTCTTTCTAAGGGTAACTGTCAAGGCTATCTGGTTTCTATGGTATCCGAGGACGATTCTGAGAGGTCCCCGGAGATAGTCTCTATTGTCTGCGAATATCTCGATGTCTTTCCTGATGAATTGCCCGGAGGACCGCCCGACCGCCAAGTGGAGTTTACCATTGATCTAGTGCCAGGAGCCGGCCCTGTTTCTAAGGCCCCTTATCGTATGGCACCGAAGGAGCTTCAAGAGCTCAAGGCCCAGATCCAGGAGTTGCTCAATCTTGGTTTCATTCGTCCGAGTGTTTCGCCGTGTGGAGCGCCCGTCCTATTCGTGAAGAAGAAAGACGGATCGATGCGCATATGTATTGACTATCGGGAGTTGAATGCCCTTACAGTCAAGAACAAGTATCCCCTTCCTCGCATTGAAGATCTCTTCGACCAGTTGAGGGGAGCCAGTGTCTTTTCTAAGATCGACTTGCGTTCTGGTTATCATCAGCTGAAGATCCGGGAGTCGGATATTTCTAAGACCGCTTTCCGTACCCGTTATGGCCACTATGAGTTCGTAGTCATGCCGTTCGGACTCAGCAATGACCGGGCCGTGTTTATGGACCTTATGAATAGGGTCTTTCATCCCTTCCTGGACCAGTTTG